AAGGAGGGGGCAAAAAAAAAGGTATGTCTTGGGGACTGCACGTGCCAATTTTCCATTCGGCTGTGACTCGTGTCTTAAACATGCATGCTTTTCAAATGGTGTGTGCAGCCTAGGAAAATGCCGTTGCCATGCCAAAAGAAACTTAGTCATGACTACATGGATTGGCCCCTGCATTCTTAAGAGGCTGCTTTCTTCCATATATCCCATTGGGACATTGCAGGGCTTATCTAGATCATCAGCTAAGTCATGTCCCATGCGCATTTTGAGCTGTGGACTCAAAAAGTTTGAAATTGTATAATTGTAAAAGGTTTGGCATAAGCATCACCAAAATGGACCTCACTGGCCTGTTACCAAAATAGTTGAGTGCTTTTCAGAAATGGAACTTCCCAGTTAATGTAATGTCACACTGAACATGCAAACAACTACAACCCACCTTCATTTAACCATGATTCCTTGCAGCATGGGGCCCATGGGTGGGTTATTCCCTGCAGGAAATACTCTTATCATCCTCAACCTGGTGCCCTCCAGAACTACAACTCCTGTTATCCCTGACCATTGGTCCTGCTGTCTGGGTCTGATGAGACCTGGATTCCAGCAACATCTGGAGGGCATCAGGCTCAGAAGGCTGTCTTAAGGAGAAGGCATGTGCATCTGTTCAACCAGAAACAGACTTCCATGTGGCCATATCTCATGCTGCATAGAACAAAATTGTAACACCAATCGAGCAATGGCTTTGTGCCAGGATATAAATATGGTCCATTTGGAACTGCATTTTACATCTCAATTCACTGGGAATGTCACTCTGTCAATAAAACCTTGTTCCTGCTAGAGCATGCAGCTATGCTTGCAGGCTCTCTGCTTCTCTCTCTCTCTCTGTACATTTGATTTCCTGAACATGGAAAACCCTAAGAGGCTTGGGGTCATGATTGCCTACCCTGACAGAAAGCCAGCTGCCAACACTCTTATTGATTCTGACTGTAGATACCAGAGTTATGGTTTGTAGAGGTGTTGAACTTACTTTACAATATTTTAATTGGAAGCTCAGATCTGAAAAGCACAGAAAATCCTGAAATGTGGATTCATACCATAATACCATCTTATAGGACAATGTGGACTCTCCTGATGTTGCTGAACTTCAACTGCCATTAGCCCCAGCCAGCGTGGCCTAGGGTCAGAGATGATGGGAGTTGTAGTTCACAACATCTAGAATGTACCATGTTGGCTACCCCTGGTATATAGAGTGGCTTATGTCAATATGTATGGGGAGGGATTTCACTTGGAGGCTGGAAAAAAAGAGACTAAAAGGGAGAATAAAACACATTCACGTGGATCTGGCACATGTGAGCTTCTGGACAACAGCCACAGACTTTAAAAAGAAAATCAGTTTTGCTAATACAAGGCCAAAATAGATTAACACAGGGGCTAGTAACTTTTCAGAACATAGGAAGCTGCCTTAATCTGCATCCACCTAGCCCAATATTGCTGACACTGACTGGCAGCAACTCTCCAGTTTCAAGGAGTGGATTCTCTCAGTTCTATCTGGAGACGTCGAGAATTGAACCTGGCACTTTCTGAATGCAAAGCAGATGCCCTATGGCCCTTCCTGTTCTATGGCCCTTCCTGTACAGCAGCTACAGTCAACAAGGCATCATAACTTTAACCTTGCAGATAGCAATGACATTCCATTTTAGTTTGGAGAAAAGAACTTATTGCTTCTAAAATTATGCCACCATAACTTATTAGGAATATGTAATATCTATGAGTCAAAGAAGATATTTCAGAAGTTATTTTTCTTCTCTTTTTAAATATATATATATAACATGGAACAATGCAACACAATCCACACCTACCCTTCTGATGCAAATGAACAACCATTGCACAACTCCCAAAATTACAGGGTGATGTGTCACTCTTAATCTTCCTAGGAATGTGGGAGTTCCTGTTTCAATCACTTCCATTGTCTGAAATCTACCAGATGATAACGGAAGAACTGCCATCGCAGGCGAAGATTGATATGTAGGTGAGGTTAATAAATGAGCCAAACGGCATGCTTACTGTAGGTTATAAAGGAAGATCAATGCAAGAGACAGCTACAAGTGCACAAGGCGACCTCCGTGCCTTAAACTTTGGTCCAGACATTGAACTAGCATTGATTATAGAGGTTTCTCATTCAAGCTGCCAGTTCAAAATGAATTAAACTCACAATCAAATTTAGACTCTGGCGTCAACTCCACACTTACGATGGGCACTTAGAAGGCTGAGCTAGGGATTTGGCAAACATTGTGGGATACAGATCTATCAACTGCGATAGCTCAGTGGAAATGTCAGAATACCAAGTGCTGGAAACAAACAACACAGAATGACTGTCATCACTTTGCTGTTATGTTTAGATAGATGATAGATAGATAGATAGATAGATAGATAGATAGATAGATAGATAGATGGGGTTTTTATGTTGTAATCTGTCCACTGATCTTTGGATGAAGGGCGGCATACAAATTTCATAAATAATAATATAAATTAGCCATGCTTGATGGAGCTGATGGGAGCTGTAGTACAGCAACATTTAGAGGGCCAAAAAGGTTCCCCACAGCTACTCTCAGGCTTGAACCCAGTGTATGCAAAGGTCACAGTGCCATCTTCAGACACACAAGGGAATAGGAAAATGTGAACTTACCATAAATTTTGCTTCTTAGGGGTTCTGGAGTGGGGTGTTCTCACACATGCTCCGTGGCAGAGCAAGTACTTTGCTTGCAGGAGACGCTGGGTTCAGTTCCTGGCACCTCCAAGCAGGGCTAGGAAAGATTCCCTGTCTGAAATCCTGGAGAGATGCTGCCAGCCAGTGTAGGCAGGACTGAGCAAGATGGACTGATTCAGTATCAGGCAGCTTCCCACGTTCCTATGACAGTCTTTACCTCTGGGAAATTGGTTTGATAGGCAAGAACAACACCTAGTGGTGACATTTCCCCTCGGCTCCCAGACCAGCCCCCAATGATTTAACAGTTCGGCTGGGTTCTGGCATCCGGAGCTACTGCGAAACAATTCAAATTTTGCTTCAGGTGCTTGTTTGTTTGTGGAGAGAGGGGCACCATTTTAGTCAGGGACTTGGGGCCATGCTTTGGCGGTGAGCTGAATCCCAAGCAAAAACAGCATCCCTGAGGTGTCAAGTCTTTCCTCTCTTCTGGCGCAGTATCCTGTGCATAGCTTTCCCCCTTTCCCATGCTAGGAGTGGGAGATCAGACAGCTCCACATCTCTCCTCGCCTCCTTTTCCTTGCCCCCAGAGAGGGACATAGCAGCTTCTCAGCTGCAGAAGCCCATCCTTGGCATGGTTAGGCCACAGTTCATGGCACTCTGCAACCCTTCACCACAAGCAGACGCCATTTTGAATGCCATGAGGGGCTGCGGCCTTCTTCGACCACAGTTTCACAGCCACTAGTCCATTGCTTTTCCAGCAGCCACCAACTGGCAAATAAGTGGTATGTAAATTAGGTAATTAATTACCTAATTAACAACAACAATGGCCCTGAGGCAATTAGAATCCATGGATACCAAGAGAGCAGCGAAGAAATTGTTAGTCAAACCCTAAAATGGTTCCATGAGGTCTCAGTTTTCCCGCCTTTTTTTTTTTTTTTAATCTCAGCCCTGTGATGTTGCTCTTGCCTGTGTTTTTGCCTTCACAGAGCCAGAGCAGGTACCCTGGAGAGAAATGGCAGCCCTCATTCTCTCCTCTTGTGAGCAAGCTGCTCTCCCTTCTCTTCTGAGGCGCAGGGCTGGAATTAGGGCTGGAAGAAGAATGGGTTTAGTTTGCTTTTCACATGGGACTGAACCAGTCAGAATAACTTTCTTGTGGATTGGAAGGCAAACCCCAACTTCACTGCTGTTTACGGCAAATAAAAAAAAAGTTGGACTTTAATAGGTGGTAACAACATCCTTAAAAGTATGGCAAAATGACAAAATATGAGATTACGCTTTGATGGCAAAGTCAACGTATTTTGCTACATCTAGAGAACAAAGTCAAAGACAGGACAGTTTTTGGTCAATAGGGTGTGTTTTTATAGAACACTGTAGAAAAAAAAGGATTATTTCTCAATATATGTTATGGGCTCACAAAGTTTTGATGAAAAATGTATAAATATATTTATAAATATACCTTTTTCTCAATATATATATTGAGCTGGGAGTAGTAATTGTACACATACTAAATGTTTATATGAATTAAGTTGTAATTGTCTCTGGTTTGGTTCTCTTTGTTCTTCTTGGAAGCCTTGCACTTTATTACATAAATAATAATAATTATTATTTTAAAAACCTTTCTCGTAAAAAAAATACATCCAAAGGGCTGTATTCAATGTTAATCCTACTCAAAGTAGACCCATTAATATTAATGGACATGACTAGCTTAAGTCTATTATTTCAATAGGTCTACTCTGAGTAGAACGTAGTTGAACACCCCCCTAAATGTGTATTTTATGGAGAAGGTACAAAATGTGTAAAATCTAAATGCATTTTTTTGTGCTTTCTTAACCACAAACAAACAAAAAAGGCTGCAGAAAACGGGACAAGGCAGACCTGTGACTGAACTCCAGCAAAACTGAAATGTGACAGGATTAGGCTGCTTACTCCATCCTTAGCTGGAAAGTAATGAGAACCAAATGAACATACCGAGGGTGTAGTCTTTCAGACACAAATGTAATGGAGAGGGATAGCAACTCCCAGTCCCCTCACCTCCTAGGCCCACAGCCTTTTAGATGAAGATATACTCATTCGGGGCTTCTTCTTTTTTAGTTTAGAGAAAAGGCAAATAAGAGGGGACATGATAGAAATGTAAAACATCATACATGGTGTGGAGAAAGCGGACGGGGAAATGTTTTTCTCCCGCTCATACGAAAAACCCAGGAGCATCCAACAACAATGAATGTGGGAAGATTCAGGACACACCAAATTACTTCTTCACAAAGCACATGGTTAAGCAGTGGAATTTGCTTCCATGGGAGGTAGTGATGGCCACCAACTTGGACAGCTTTAGGAGGACTGGGCAAATTCATGGAAGGTGAGGCCAGTAATGACTGCTGGCCACAATGGCTATGTTCTCCCTGCATTGTTGGAGGCCTCTGAATACCGCTGGATAGAGAATCATAGGTAAGGAGAGTGCTGTTGCATTCATGTCTGGCTTGTTGGTATTCCCACTGCGGCTCCTGGTTGGCCACTGAGAGATTAGGATGCTGAACTAGATGGACCTTTGGCCTCATCCAGCATGGTTCTTCTTATGTTCTTACGCAGCATCAGCTGCTGTGACTGGCAGGCACAATGAAGCCTCTGGGTTGGCCAGGTGTGGAGCCTGATCTTCACCCATTGTCTAATCCAGTGTTCCCCAACCTTGGGCCTCCAGCTGTTTTTGGACTACAATTCCCATCATCCCTGACCACTGGTCTTGCTAGCTGAGGATTATGGGAGTTGTAGTCCAAAAACAGCTGAAGGCCCAAGGTTGGGAAATGCTGGTCTAATCAATAGAATTTTATTTCCAAGGAATGCAGCCTCCAGATCGGGATTCAGCTATGGCTGCAGATGGCCCCAAAGCCAGCAGTCTACAGTAGCCTAACTTTTCATTTTACAATTTTTAGAAAGGAGATGCTGATGAGTTGGCAGGTTTGGGAAATCAAAGGTAGTCAGCTGACATACCTCTGAATGATCAGGGACTTCAAGCAACAGAAAATGATGTTTCTAAATGGTAGTCTGTAAGGGTGGTTGCTTAAGAATGCTCTTTGACCTGAAGACTGGAAGCACGCAAGCCTATGCAATCTTGATGTGCCCTGAAGCACGTCAGGGGGAAGAAAAAGAAAAAGAAATATTGATAGAAAGAAGGTTGGCTGGAGCCTGTCTAAACTTCCTGATATTCTACATTCCTTCTTTTGATTTTTAGATAGCACTTATGCTATTATTTACATTTCTCCCCTTCTCATTTATTTATTGACTCCTCATTTATCTCTCCAAATGTGGGTGTGCTTTTAAAAAAAGTATTTTGTATTCCTGATCCATTTTCTATGGTGACAGATGCTTCCATTGCCACATTGCATTGCCTAGCTAATCTACATGTAGGTTTTTTAAGTAGATGACAGCTCTTCCAATGATTTTTATCTTCCCAGCCACATTCCATTGCAACCTGATTCCTTCCCCTCTATTACTGTCTAGGGCTGATGGATTCTTTCACTCTCTCCACTATGTTCCTTCTCTGTGCCTCCTCCGTCTGTTGAGTATTATCTCAACTAAGCACATTTGCAGCCCTACATTTTGCCTGAATCCTCATGGTTCATTTATAATATTGGGAAGAAGGACAACAGTTTATGCAAAACTGAAGTATTTTGGCAGCTCTGCTTCTTAGGATACTGATGGTGTCTCTCCACCCCTCCCCCCCTTTTCTGTTTCCAAACACCTCTCTAGAAGACATTCCATAGCCATACTGTAAAGAACTCAGGAGAGTACTACACATAAAAATTTGCTGTTCCTTTTGTGGGGGTCTAGAAGTGTGAATTTCACACAATACTGAAGTTGATTAATAGTTCCTTATTTGCACAAAAGTTCAAAATGCAGCTCAATCAAAACATTTTTAAAGAACTAAGGTTTATATGTCCCCAAATTCCAAAGTAAGTTTCTGAATACCCTGTATCATATTACCATACCTTTCAAGGTATGCAATTCTTTTCTCCAGTCGATTTTTTGTTTTGTTTTTGTGCAACACTCAGGAATGTGTGAAGACATCTGATGATAGCAAATAAAGACCTAGGAATATGCACCCCAAAATAAGCTTTGGGATCCCACAAATCATACACTCATACATCCAGAATAGTATGGTCTACTACAAGATGGCATTCAGCCATGTTCAGTCCAAGACATTCTTAGGGTACAGCACGTCAAAGAGGTACCCCTATGTCAGTCACAAAGGAATTGAATTTTACTGTCCTGGACTGATTGTATATAAAATAGGAATACTCTTTATTTTCATTTTAACTGTCAGCATATTTGGTAAGTATAGGGTTAACCTAGAGTTCTAGTGGTTGCCCCAAGGGAATGTCTGGAGGGGGGGAGCATATGTGGCCCTCCAGGCCTCTCTGTCTGGTCCTTAGAATGTTCCCAGGCTACACCCCTCATTAACTCTGCTTTGCACCCTCCCTATTTTAGTCTGGCTGGAAAGTGTCCTTGAAGTCTGATACTGCTTCTTGCTTTCCTGGATGTAGGATAGAAAGGGGTGTGTGATTGTGTATAGAAACTAGCCTTCTGTATGATGGTAAAATCTGCATTCACTGCTCCACCCACTTTTCCATTAGGGTCCTGCCCACCAGTAGCTGTAGAAGGTTCCCCATCCCCCTGCTGCAAGTGAAATCAATACATAGCATCAGTCTGTGAAAATGCAGCCTATAGTACTCCTCCAACTGTCTGAAAGCTAAAGAAACCGACAGTGCAATTCTCATTGAGGTGGGTGCCCATGGATGCTGTGCAGCATAATGACCCATCTTTCCTCAAATGGAAATGATGATTATCTTCTTAATGGGGCTGTTGAGATGATGAATGCAGGTAACCTTACAGAGAGAAAAAGTGTTAGATGTGATAAATAGCAGAGATCCTTCAGATGTAAGACTGCTGTAAAACAAATCAGGGAAATTACTACTTTGTCTCCCTAATTAAGCAAACCAAGAGCTCCAAGTACCTGTGTACACCTTACAGACAGAGGGAAAGCCAGTTGGACACCTGCTCCAAAATGAGGCTTCTTCATTCACTTCTGCTACTACAGAAGTAGTGTCTGCTAAAGAGATACTAATTAGATCTTCCTGGTGAGTTTCCTTTTGTGCGCACACTGAGCAGGGAATATAATTGTAGCTGCATCAGCCATTCATTCTTCTTGTGAAGTGAACTGTAATGACTAATCGTTCTGCTGTTGTCCTGCTCTGAATCAAAAAATTGCAATTACTCCTAATATTTGCTTATGTTTCTGTAGATCTGTGAGCTGATTCTTCATATTTTGGGTCTATTCTGGAGGTAAGGTGTATGGGGGAGGGGATTTCTTTCAGCACAAGAAAATGGCACAGTTTCAACCCTTTCGGAAGCACCATAGATCAGTCGTAAAGGATCTACTTTTGCATGAACAAAGTCCCACATTCAATCCTGGCATCCATCTGAAAACCTGCAGAGCTGCTGCTTGTCACTGTATATCTTAGGCGCAATGTAAGTTGAACAGTTAATATGCATAGCAGCTGCTCCCTGTGCACATTTACCAGGCTTCATAGAGAATATGCAGATAATCTGTTCATGAAGAGGGAGTCATGCACATTTCTCCAAAGTGCCATTGAGATGTGCACATTCCCCAAGGCCTGTTGGAGAGTATGCATATTGGCTGGAAAGTGTGCCCAATTCCCTATTCTGGTTGTTGCGCACGTTCACCACTCAACTTACATTACCTTTAACATATATAAAACTAGAATAATCATTGGTCAGACTCATTGTAAGGCAGCTTCCGAAGTTCTTAACCCTGTCAAAGGCTTAGGAGCAGTGTACAACGGTGCTACTTGAAAGTTTAGAGGAGTCAGCTCCAGCCTAGCTGCCTCAAAGTTAACGCCTACCATACCAGTGTCTGCCAAACGGCATACAGGGAAACGAATAGTATCATAGAATTGTAGAGTTGGAAGGGACCACAAGGATCATCTAGTCCAAACCCCCTGCAATGCATGACAGAATGCTTCTCCATAGAAAACTTCCCTCCACCTACATATGAAGTATATCAGAGTGAAAGGTTCAAGCCTAAGCTTTTTGCTTGTTTATGTCAGAGTATTCAGTCATGTGAGTCCCTGTTTGCGATCTGAAGGAGGATATTAGAAAAAATATGTTGATCCCTTCAGCAACAACTTGACAAGACTTGGCAAGCTGTTTAGAGAGGACTGGTGGACTTGATGTGGCTATAGAACTGATGTAGTCCACTGGGGGCTGATGCCCATTGAGACTGGTATTGCAGAATACAGTGGTACCTCGGGTTACATACGCTTCAGGTTACAGACTCCGCTAACCCAGAAATAGTACCTCGGGTTAAGAACTTTGCTTCAGGATGAGAACAGAAATCGTGCTTCAGCGGCGCGGCAGCAGCAGGAGGCCCCATTAGCTAAAGTGGTGCTTGAGGTTAAGAACAGTTTCAGGTTAAGTACGGACCTCCGGTACAAATTAAGTACTTAACCAGAGGTACCACTGTACAAGGAGGCAAACAGTAGGTGGAGCCACAACCAATGACAGACAAAGACAGAAATGATAACAGCTAATACTAGTTTTGTCCCCATCCTCCTCCCTGCTGAGTGCCACACAAAATTTGGTATTTTAAGTATTATTGAACTTTATTATTATTATTATTATTATCATTATTACAAAGTACCCATTTTTAAATTTACTCTCAAAGAATGCATTTTCAAATGTAATTATCCTAAAGTGCACATTTTTATATGCATTTTGGGTTCATTTTTTAAAAGAATATGAGAACAGCATTGCAAAAGTCATAGGTGAAATCTGGAGAACTGCATTCTGATTCAGAGATTAGATTGGGATGTGTGCATCAGTTCAAGGCAATTATAAAAATTTGCAAAGAACAAATTTCTAGAGCATCCCTACACGAGAACCTGACTGTGACAGATAATGTCGTGGCTAGAAAATCTTATTTATGTAACAAAATTTATATACCACTTGACTGAAACAATACCTCTAAGTGGCTGACAATAAGTTTTAAAATGATCAATTAAAAACATGTAATAGTTTTTTAAAGCAATTAAAATCAGCTGTAAACTAATAAATATGAAAACACATCAATTTCTAAGTGTCTGGCTAGGCTTGCCTAAACAAAAATGTTATAAGCAGTTGCCAGAAAGACCACAGTGAGGCATTTGACTGATGTCAATATGCAGGTAGTTCCTGAAGTATAGGGGCTGCCACACTAAAATATACATTTCTTACAAGTGCATAATGAATATTGTGTGGCACTTGTAACAGTGTAAGTTCCACAGATCAAAGCCGTTGAGTGGGCACATACGAAGAAACGCAATCCCACAAGTAAACTGGCTCCAAGCAATTGATGCCTTTATATACTAATATTAACAACTTAAACTTGGCCCAGTAGCAAATCAGCAACCAGTGCAGATCTCTGAGTAGAGGTGCTATATGCTGACAAGGTCTTACTCCTGTCAGTAGTTATGCTGCAGCATTATACACTAACTGCAGCTTCTGGATCAAATGGAAGGGAAGCCTCACGTAAAGCACATTGCTGTGATCTAATATTTAAGGCACCAATGCATGAACTACTGTGGTCAAGCTCTCCCCGCCCAGGAACGGCCATAGCTGTTGTCAAGGTCACTCCAAAGTTGAGAAATTTTATCATCAGAGTGTGTAGCCAGCTGGTCATAGTGGGTCCTCAAGTACTCCAGAGGACCCTCTCTGTTAGTGGGAATTAAAAACCTCTGGGATGTCCGGAATAATGCTGCTGGTCGGCTTCTATAAGATGTAATTCAAACTGCAAAATCTTAGTTTCCATTTCTTTCGTGGAACTGGCTTCCTTTCTAGCCACAACCAACAAAGCTACTATTTGGGTATGGGGTGGGGGAGAGATGGTGTTCTTGAGCTGCGATCATTTCTTTAAGATTCTTGGAATTTCAGTAGGTGCATAGAGGTATTTACCACAGTAGGCATAAACGTGATGTTCGTGTGTCCCCACTCCAGGAATTAATTTCTCTACTTCCAATCACTGTGATCTGAAGTGTCCCTTGTTTGTTAAAAGCCACACTTTAAGCTTGATCATTTTTTTTCATCTCTACATTTTTCAACCCCTCCCACACACTTGATCCATGTTCCAGCCACACAGTGCAGCAAATTTCAGCAAATGCAGCTAAGGCTGTGTAAAAAGCTATGGGAAGTTTGAGGTTACACCTCGCATCTGAAAACTGAGCTTTCTATTTAACATGCAAACAAAGGATCTTAAATTGGGTGGCAAAGGACTGTTGCAGAGAGATGGCCAGATAGTAAAAAGATAGAAGATTTTCACAAACATACATGGCAAGCTGCTCATTAGGTCCTTGCAGAGAGTCATGGAGGATATGGGTTTGGGGAATGCTGGACTAGATGGTAACCAAAGAGTTGGGGGGAACCTTTTAGGACATCTAGTCAAACATTCCCCAACCCCATATCCTCCATATTTTGGACACAAACTCTCATCCAGCCAGCATGGCCAATGGTCAAGGAGGATGGCCATTCTAGTTCAAAATATCTATAGGGCACCAAGTTGAGGAAGACTAATAAAGTCTGGCTCTTTGCTTGATGCAGGAAATTCAGAGCTAGAGCACCCTGAAGAGACAGCAGTCCATACTTTGCTTGAAGATCTCAGCCTCCAGCAAAGTAATTGGTGCCACTGTTGAACTGTTCTTATCAGCAATACGTGTCTCATAATCTTAGGAAGTTGCTTGTGCTTCTGACAGTAATTAACTGCACTGATATACCGTATTTTCTGCAGCCAAAACGGAAGGGAATGCTACTGCAGCAGTATCAGAAAGAAGTAGTAAAACAAAAGGTTGAGTGTGGTCCAGTGGTTAGATTTAGAGTGCAGATTCCTGGGTTCAAGCCACAAAGCTTAGTAGGTGATGCTTTGGTGCACTCTCTCACTCTCTACCTATTTTGCAGGGTTATTTTAAGGGTAAAAGGGAGACCACATCCTGAAGTGCACAGAAGAAGAGGACAATAAAGATGCTTTAAACAATCCATTTTCATGTTGCTGTAGTTGCTTCTGTTTTGAGAGACACAAAAAGAAACAGAAAGTCCCAACCAAACCTGCAATCAGAGAAAAGAGAAAGCAGGAGCTGGAAAGCAAGAAGATATGAGAAAGAGAAATTATTATTTACTGTATTTGCAGACGGCCCTTCCACAAAAGTTCTTGGAGCAGTGAACAATTGACAATAAAATAATAAAAATAAAACATCAGAAATAAAACCGCAAACTGAAAGCATGTCATAGGGAAAATCAGCACCACCACAATACGTAAGAAACACCACAATCAGCTCATCAACCCTCATATGTTGAACAGAACATTATGTCAATGAGGCGAATGAGAGCATTTCCAGCAGGAGGGAATCCCACAAATCAAGGAGCCATGACTGAGAAGACCCTATTGTGACTCAGGTAAAGGATGGAACTCTTAGTAGGGCCTCCCCTACAGATCTATTAATGCATGGCTAAGGCAGCACTAATCAATGTGGTGCCCTCCAGATATGGTTGGACTTCAACTCCCATCAACCACAGCCAGTATGGCCAATGGTGAAGGATGATGGGAGCTGTAGTCCAGCGATATCTGGAGGGCAATGTGTTGGCTGTCCCTGGGCTATGAAATTGATGCAAAAAAAAGAGGAAAGAGAAATAGCTTCATATATGTTATACTGCAATATGTGAAGTTGTCTTGTCATTCTTCTCTCTCTCTCTCTCTCTCTCTCTCTCTCTCTCTCTCTCTCTCTCTCCCCCTCTCCCTCTCCCTCTCCCTCCCTCTCTCTCTGTCTCTCTCTTTCTCACACAAACATACACATACACAGAATCTTCATTTATCAGGCACAGGATTTGGGGTGCTCCAAACCACCCAACAGTAACTCTGTGAAAATCAAAAGTATGCTTGAGAACTTGAATGAATTGGCATAGGTTTATTGGAAACAGTTTGTCATTTGAGAAGGGGCATTTCTCCCAATTTGAGCACTCAAACATCTCCTTTCTTACACATTAGAATGATACCAATATTTCTGGAAAAATAACACAGTTCTCTGTGGCTAAAAGTATATCCTGCTAGATAAACTGATTCATAATTTTCTTAATAACTGGAGAAATCTGGGGTACCAGGGTCTGTGCCAGACAGTATTTGATGTCATTTCCATTCTGATGAATAGTTTTGTACCACACGTATGAATCTCTTCCCCAGGATCATTTACAGCAAAGTAAATGGAACCATAGTTCAGTAGAGCATCTGTTTTGTATGCAAAAGGTTCCTGGCATATCCACATAGGGCTAAGAATTGTACCCTGATTGAAATCCTGGCAAGCCATGGCCAGTCAGTGTAGAAAATGGGGACCCAGACGGACAATGGTCTGACTCAATATAAGGCAGCTTCCGACACATCTATGTTCTGTTAGAATGCTTCCTGAAATAAACAATTGGGGTCTTTGTGTTCTACATGGTTGCAACGCACACACACCTCTTCACATGCCCGTGGCAAGGAGGAAAGCCAGCTCTTCAATGTTTAACTAGGATCAGAATGTATCTGTTTCAAAGACAGACAGATACAGGATATTGTAGAGTTATGCAGGTGGGTTTTGACTGTAGTTGCTAGTTTTGCACACTAGTTTAGACTCCAGGGAAACCGAGTACGGAAAATCACAACTCCAAAACTCTTTCTTAAGAACACAAACATCTGCCGGGCAAGGCTGGGGAGCGACAAGGGTTCTTTGAAAATGCAAACCAAGGCATTTCCTGGAGTAGAGTCTCCATGGAAACCTCCACTCCAGGAAATGCTACGGAGAATCGCAAGGCTCATTTTAAATAAGAACACAAACACACCAGCAATGCTTTGAAGCCACAATACAACCCAAGGGAGGGGGGAAACAACAACAACTCACCAAGCTGACAAAGCTCAAGAGAGCTATGTCTCTTTTCCTAGTGTGCCAGAACAAGAATAAAAACCCCTCAACTATAATAATTAAATAAATTTATTATTTTTACTCTGCCCACCTGACTGAGTTGCCCCAGCCGCTCTGGGCAGCTACCTCTTAAATGTAACTAAGGGGAGGAAGGATAGAATGCCACCCCACTCTACTCTGCGGTTGCCATTGACAAGCCTCCTCTTTTCATCCCACCTCCACTGCATCCCAAGCCTCCATGAATTACTGAGATAAACTGGACTGAAACACAATAGCCAGAACAAGTCCCGCCTGGTGTCAGTTGAGTTTCTCTCCCTCATCTGCTCTTTCACTGATTGCAGTAACTCCACCTGTGTGATGACTTCCAGGGAAAGATGTAAATACCTCAATCACCTACAGCTTGCAGGTTGGGGCTATTCATAATGTCCTTTGATAGTCGATGTTGACTGACTCCTTTCTGGCTACATGGAACCAATCAGAAAGGGGAGGGGGGAGGAAAGAAGGAGGAGTGTAAAGTCCTGACACCCTACCTTAGCCGTTTCTATGGAAGAGTGTTTGTATGTCATTGCCCCCCTTAAAGTTCAACACCCCCCCCAGAGACATGTGTGGGACCTGCTGGCCACACATAGTGATGGGTAATGATTGGCTCTGTTGTCAACAGCAGAATGGTTAGCAGAAGAGGGACTGGTTAGTGGCAGTCTGATTAAGTAAAAATCAATGCATATGCATATGGGGTTAGGATAGCTGTGGGGGATGTTGTTGTGGGGGTTCTGAAATTCATGGATTGAAGAAGCTGACCAGCCTCCCTGCTAAGAACACGGAAAGATAAGTGCAGGCTAATTTCTCATAAAACAAATGAGGAGACCATGACCTGTATGGATTGCCTCATCTCTCAGGTTCTACAAAAGGTAGAAACTTGCTTTTTTTAGATAGCTAGCTAGCTAGCTAGCTAGCTAGATAGATAGATAGACAGATAGATAGATAGATGATAGATAGATAGATTAGATAGACAGGAAGGCAGGAACTGAAAACTGGGAATCTAGAGATTATGGCTCATCCAGCTGCTTTCGCACCTCTGTGGATGTTCATGATTTCCTTCAACCTCCTTCAACAATAAAGTGGAATTCTTACTGCCTGCCACTTGGAAATTATGGTTCTATTAATGCAACCTAAAACTGCATTAGATTTTTCTGAAGCCGCATCACACAACTGACTCGTGTTCAGTTTGCAATCACCATGGGATCCTTCAGTCTATAAGGCAATTAATGCATTACCCTGAAAGTTGCACTGAGCACCATATAACTGGAAAGGCATCTAAGGAGGCTTAGAAATAAATGAATACTTATGGTGTGGGGATGGGGCAGGGGCAGAGGCAGGGAACTGATGGACAGAAGAGAGATAATGAATCAGAGTGATCCTATTGGCCAATTTCTGGTGGACCACCTAGAATCCCAGACTAAGTTAACTTTGGCTCAGGAAAGGATTTCTTATGTGTTTAAGAAACAGCACAAGTTTACTGTTCGTGATTAGTTCTGACTTAATGATGATGAGATCCTGAGTACACATTCTTGCTTCACAAATTCAAAACATAACAATGAGCCCATAGGGGATCTTTTTTTTTTAAGGCAGTAGTTGGGAGTGCAGCTCACTCACCACTAGGCAAGATGACACCTTGGTTTCAATCTTTTAACATTCTGAAAATGTTACTTGAAATACAAAAGGCAGTTTGATGTAGTTTGTTGAGAAAGCAGGGTCACAGACATGAATGAAAAGCATCCATCTGAGAAGTGGGAGATGGGAACATACCTGCTATCTCCAACCGTCTCCTGGGAAGCAGTCATTTTCTCTGCAATGGTCTTGACACTTGCCTTTTTGCCCCCTTTCTGCATGAGTAAGAGGTTTAGATAATAAATTCTAAATATGAGAGAGATCAAGATCTGATTCAAGGTCACCCAGTGAGCTTTATGACTAACCAGGGTTCCGAACTTATGTTCCCAAGTTCCGCCGTCTACCCAGGCACAATGCTGGCTCCACAGAACATGTCTTCTTAAGGCAAGCATAAGGGATTGCACATGCTATAAGATACTGGACCCCATTTGTACTGATGTAAACCTCTAGAACAGCCTTTCTCAACCTGTGGGTCCCCAGATGTTGTTGAACTACAACTCCCATCACCCCTAGCTAGCAAGGCCAGAGCTCAGGGATGATGGGAGTTGTAGTCCAACAACATGTGGGGACCCACAGGTTGAGAACCGCTGCTCTAGAATGTCATTTGTATAGCTAAGCATTTAGCTGTATCCTCAGTACACTGTATTTTATTTTATTGCTATGGCTAATGGCTAATACAAATAAAGTTGCTATGTATGTATGCATGCATCTGGTGAGGTTGGCTTCAATTCTGAGGGGCCACGGGTTAAGAGCTCTTTTGTGGGTCCCCTCCTCTTTTGACTTATTTGGGGGGCAGTGGTCTGAGAAGCATTTGGACAAACACCAGGACACTGGGTCTAGTAGTAATTTAATTTCACACAGTCGCCTAGAGTATTGGTGGGAACAGCGAGAACTCTGCATTGTATGAAGGACCACACCAGAATGTTTTGAAGGGGGTGGGGCTGCAGGTGCCATCACTGGAACCTGCTGTGCACTCTTTGAGGCAGGTTTCGTGGAGCCAATACTCTAGCTTCCTGGGAGGTGAGTCGCTGTAGCTTACCTGAAGGTGGGGGAGCTGGTGGGGAGGTCACTGCAGTGCAAACACACCAGCAAAACCAATCTGGCTCAATAACTGCTTTACCCCTCCTGATAAGCAATGGTGACCTTCCTGCCAGGAAGTTAGGGTAGCAGGTTTTTTTGCCCTGCTCAGCAAGCCACTTCTGGGTAAGACATTCTTCCTTCTGGGTGTTAGGGAGGAGCTTCCAATCTGGACTACTGCCAGATAATGAAATGGGAATGAAATGTGGATGTGAATTGTTGCGTCCACAAGTGTAGCTGGCTTTCCTTACTTCATTTGGCTCATCTGACTGCACAGCAGGTTGAGGATCTCCTGGAAGAGGTGCAAGGGTGATGCTACTGAAGATGGCACAGCCGCGCTCAACTCTTCGGAAACAGCCACTTTCATTTTCTATATAAACAAAGAACAATGTATAGTCAAGGGAAGCATCTGTCTATTTTCCTGTTGTGTTTAATGAGTGGTCAAAATTTAAATAAAAAATATTAAGTCTGTTGAAGGGGAAGGTAAATGAAACAAGACACAAGAAATGCTTGTGGCTCTCTACTGCAAGCTTTGGGTCCCTTTATAAAAGTCACCTTGAATATAACAGTGGAATGGAAAATTAGTATGTTGTACCTAAGCTCTCAGCAGCTGTGATTTACTCTAGCAATA